GCCCCCTGCCCCCCCAGTCTTCAGCACACAGTTGCTCTCCCTCTCTGTGTCTGAAGTCCCCAGCTGCTCCATCACTCCATGTTATCATCTCTGCCTCCATCTCAGGCATCACTGCTTCTCTGGTTAGGGTCCCGCTCTCGGATCTTCTCCACTGATGGTCCTAGGGACCTCTGCTCCTAGACTGAAAAGTTAATCACTCCCTTCCTCACTATAAAACGTCTACCTTTACATTTCCAACCCTCACAATCAGTCCTGATAACAATTATTCACTATTGTATCACAAGAGACCCATCTGCATTTCATTTCATCAGCTCTGCCTGGACAGATTAGATACTACTCACTGGAGATTCTGCCTTCCTCCAGGCCCTCTGGCTCTAGGTTACCTCATGAAAGCTTGTAAGCCAGTCACTTCTTGCCTTTGTAGCCCCACCCCACCCCCATTTTGGGTAGCCAATGTCCAAGTTGCCCATCCCTGTCTACTCTGTGTATGGAGGGGGTGGGAATGAACCTTGCTGTTTAAGAATTTGTTCTCTCTTTTGAGCTACTCCATCCATAGGTGTAGGTCAAGTTCATCAAATTGTGTCAACTTACTCTTTTTTTCCTCTTCTTTCTTCTTCCGGTTGAGCTCTGATCATCCAGTCATTGAAGCCAGGTCAAGTGGGTATTATCTGCAAGTGTGGGTGTTCTTGTGCATATGCCCTCTCTTCCTATCAGCTGCACGCTTCACTCTCCACATTGTTGGGCTTAGCTCACCATTTCATTGTGGTTTTTCCCTCATTTCCCCTTATCGGTGAGGAGTCTGATCACCAATCAGAGCATGTATTCCCATTGAGTCTTAGTCTTAGAAGGGGGTTTGCACTGAGGGGACCCGATCACTTGCCTTGATGTTTGCTGGGCAGATTCTCCTTTTTATTTAATTTCTCCAGTTTCTGCTGTTTTTATCAGTGAACTTTGTCAGGTTGTACTTGAGGCAGCCATGAGTGAATTTTCAGATTTCGTTTTCCTAGAACGAGTCATTTTCCGGTGATAGGATGGTTTAGCACTTTACCTGTGTTTAGCCGTAGTTTCTTTGGTCTGCATTCATTTGTTGTGGTTGTGTACAGTTGAACCGATTCTGACCCCCCGAATGACAGACGACTGCCCCATGGTTTTCTAGGCTGCCATCGTCACAGGAGCACATCACTTGCCGTTTTCTCCCATGAAACAGCTGGTGGATTCATATCACTAACCTTTTTGTTAGAAACCAAGCACTTAACCACTGTGCTACCAGAGCTCCTAACATTCCCTTAACCTCTTCTAGTCACCACTTGTAGCACGATTCTCTGTCAGACACCGAATTCAGTATCACCAAGTGTGCTGACCATGTGTCCTTTCCCCTTAGTTTGTGGATGAGGAATCTAGGGCTGAGAGAAGGAAAGAGAAAATGGCCCACCCAAAGATGGGTGGGCCAGGCCTGTGGCACTGCAGGACTAGACCCAGGGTCTCCAGTGTCAGTGTGTGCTGGGAACGTCGTCAGGGGCATGGAGAACCAGATGTAGCCTGTAACTTAGGTGATATTGAGTTTAAGGGTCCTAATAATACACAGGAGTCCTGGTGTGGCGCTGTGGGTTAATGTGCCAGACTACAAAGCCGTTTGAACTGCAAGGTTGGTGGTTCAAGCTCACTAGCTGCTCTTCGGAAACCCTACACAGGGTTGCTATGGGTCGGGATCGACTCGACGGCACTTAACAACAACAACAATAATACACTAGGAGTCCTGGTGTGACTCTGTAGATTAAACACTGGACAGTTAACCCCAAGGTTGACAGTTCAAACGCACCAGCCACTCCTTGAAACCCTAAACAAGGTTGCTGTGAGTCGAAAGTGACTCAACGACACATAATAACTGCAAGAAGGAAGATGTTCCCCTTCCCTATGCCTGCAAAATACGATTTCACCACATGGTATAGAAATTGCAATGTTTCTGAAGGCAACTAATCTCTGGGACAGGCAGCTGCAGCATCCATGGCAAACAATTCTGGTGGCATCAATGTGTTTGAGGTGACTTTCCAACAGGAACCCCCTCACTGCATTCTGGGGATCTCTGCTGGCTTCTTTGGGGGGAGGGGATTTTTTAGAAACTTTTAACTGCATTTATTTCGGTTTGACATATTATTTGGATAAAAATGAACTCATACTTATTACTTCATGGAATGTTTTGATTTTTGGCATTATCATTTGGTCCACATGAGTATAAATCAAAAATTGTATCATAGATATAAAACCCCAGAGTTTTAAGACCTCACATGTTTTGATGTAGAAAGATGCTATACCAAAATAGTAAATTGTTCCTTTTTAGCCCAGTTAAAGGAACAGCACATGCTGTCTGCAGAGCTTTTAGAAGTCTAAATTACCTGTTTCCTCACTGAGAATTGTAATATATGTGGATAATATACAGCGTATACAAACGTGCACATACAAGTGCCTAAAGACCACACCTGTGTAGGCGTGTGTATTCACTGGCAATGTTAGCAACAATATGATAAATAAAGAGGCAGAGGGCAAAGTGACATTTCACAGAATTCCTTCTAATAAACATAGAAGAATTGATTGGAACCTTCTGCTGGGTTTTCCTCTAAGGAACCTGATCTGCCTCGGTAAGGATAACAACCTAGGAAACCCAGTGTGGCAGTTCAACTCTGCCATACAGAGCCACTGTGTCAAATATTGACTCAGCACCTAACAACAAGAGTCATATACAGAATCAGATCTGACTCTTTTCTCTTGTGAAGCTGCTGGTGGGTTTGAGCCACCAACCTTTGTTTGGCAGCAGAGCACTTAACCATTGCATCACCAGGGCTTCTTGAGAACAGTCTAGTGAATATGATCAGTTTTCTCCAGTGATGGTTAATTTGGGGTGTTGGTGGTTTACTGTCGATTCAGATGAATTTCTCAGCTGTTTACTTGATGGAGCGTCCACTTTGCACCAAGCAATGTGTTAACACTAAAGATACAATAGTGAGCAGATCTAAGTTTCAGATCTCCTGGGCTTTACTCTAGAAGTGGTGGATGATGAGGTAGTAAATAATGAACACAATTACTGCACAGGTGATAAGGTGTGCTGTGACCAAGAGTGATATAGCAGGTAGGCTCATAGCGGTGGTGAGTCCAGTTGGGGTTTCTGAGGATATATCGTAGCAGAATGGGGATGACCATGGACCATCTGGAGTGAGAGCTGTCCAGTAGAGGGGACTGCAAGTGCATTTTGTCTAGAGCAGGATTAGATGTGATGTATTCTCAGGACACATAGGCCAGCATGGTGTGAGTGTTAGGAGCAAATGGAGAGATGGCTTCTCAGTAAGGTTAAATAAAGGAAGTTAGAATCCAGAGGATACTTGATCTTGTCAACCATCAAAGAAGACTTTCGTGTAATCTTAAGAGCCTTCAGAGTCCTGGTGTGGCGCTGTGGGCTAATGTGTCAGACTGCCAAGTCATTTCAACTGCAAGGTCGCTGGTTCAAGCTCACTAGTTGCTCCTTGGAAACCCTATACAGGGTCACTATGGGTCAGAATCAACTCAACGGCACTTAACAACAACAAGAGCCATCGGAAGCCATTGGGAATTTAAAGCAGGAAATGACATAAAGAGATTCACATTTCAAATACAATCACACACACATGCACACGCACGTGATATACCAACAAATCATTATACAATGGTATGTCTCTTGACATAAAAGTTTTTTAAATTTTTAATTGAAGGGTTTGGGTATTTGACACTTTACTACACACGTATGTTATTGTTGTTAATAAGTCCAACTCAAAGTGACCCTGTATAAGGTTTCCAAGGAACGGTTGGTGAGTTTGAACCACCAACCTTGCAGTTCAAACCGATCTTGAGGTTGAGTGCTTATCCTATGGCACCACACCAGGACTCCATACGTGAGTAATGTTAAACCGTGAATGAAATATTAGCAGTTTTCTTCCTGATTTCCTGCTTTGACCAAACCACTTTGCACAGTAATTCTAACTTCTCGTAATAAGAACAGAATTACAAATTATATCTAAGGTGTCAGTAACTCAGCAAAAGTCAGGTTGACGGACGGTACTATCGCCCAGGAGAGTCTTCCTGACGGAGATTATAAAAGCATCAAGAACTGCCTCCAAGGATGAACATTTTTCGTGGGATCTCTCTTTTTAGGTGTCTGGAGTCACAGGGAGAACAAGCAGGTCACCAGGACCCACTGGCACTCAGAAGCTGGTCAGCTCTCTGAGGTTTAAGGCCTGCACCCAGCAGTTAGAAATTACAGCTGGCAGTGAGGACTGTAATTTTGTCATTTGTCCATGGCTGGAGTTGGCCTCCAGAAACTGGTGTTGATAGTGACATCTAGTGGAGCTTTGAGTAATCAAGCTCAGTTGGCCAAACCCACTGCCGTCAAATCAATTCTGATTCATAGCCACCCACCAGCTGCTCCTCAGAAACCCTGTACAGTTCGCTATGAGTTGGAACCGACTCGACGGCACCAAACAACAACAGCGTAGGGTTTCTGAGACTGTACATTGTTACAGGAGCAGACAGCTTCATCTTTCTCCCAGGGAGCAACCTTTCAGTACTTTCAGTACTTTTCCTACAATGCCTCTGGGGCTCCTGTAGTTGACCTTTCAGATGTTTAATGAATTAGTAGGTACTGATTGTGAAACGGAACAGCCCTGGTGGCACTATGCATTAGGCTGCTAACCTCAAGGTGGTTTGCTCAAATCTACCAGCCACTCTGTAGGAGAAAGCTCAGGCTTTCTCTTCTTGTAAAGATTTACACAGCCTCAGAAACCCATGCATGAGTCAGAATCAAATCGGTGGCAAGGGTTTGGTTTGGGTTGGGTTTGGTTGTAGAACCAACTCCCTTTTCATCAATGCCATGTGTTCTAAAATATGAAAATGTGTCTTTTAAAGTACAGTTTGGTATATCTGAAATACTAAAATATCGAGAATACTGAGACTTAATTTATCTTTGTTTCCCATAGACAGAAGATCCAACCATGGAGCGACCCTATACATTTAAGGATTTTCTCCTCAGACCAAGAAGGTGAGGCTCAAGTCTGTCTGTGTATTTGTGGGTTTGAGGGATGTTTCTCCACGTGCTTAAGGTTTTAAATTTCTCTGAGGGAGATTTCAACTTCTTTGTATATGTCTTCTCACACACAAAAATTCATCATGCTCTTTTAAGAACTCTCTATGGCATCCAATTGATAACAGCAACTCGAAAGATTAGATAGGAACGTTCAAGGGCAGTAACTTTCTGTGATTAGGGGAGGGACAACTCAGAAAAGGAGATTGAGAATGGTTGCCCAGCTTCAAGAATGTAATCAGGACATTAAGTGGTACATGTTGAAACTGTTGAACTCGTGTGTTTTTTGCTGTGTATATATATTCTCAACAACAACAATGAAATTAACAGTTTTTTTAAAGTCATAAATATGAAAGACACAGCAAAGTCATAAATCCTCTCTGACCGCCTTTCTGTCACTACATAGTCACAAATCTCGAGTTAAAGGATTTTTGCGGTTGAAAATGGCCTACATGCCCAAAAATGGAGGTCAAGATGAAGAGAACAGTGAGCAGAGGGAAGACATGGAGGTAAGCTAGAAGCCCTCATCTCTTTTCCTTACCTGTGACCGTAGCCATATTTTATTTTTAGACTTGAGTCTTTATAATTCAAGGAAATAAAAGTTTGCAAAGTTTAAATATAGAAAAACTTAACCTGTGCCCATGAGTCTGACCATGGAAATTGACCAATCTTTCTGTTTTGGTCCGTGTGATTTTACTAAACTCTTCATTTCACATTACAGGACTAATTATTGAAGAGTCCCTCCACCTTCTCTTTATGAAATCTTACCCCACCTCCCCCCAGGTCCACTGATGGTCCTGCCCCTATGTGAGATTCTCCTCACTTGGTGGAATTGTTTATTACTTTGTATTTTCAGTTCTTTGTAGGTTCCTCTTAGCACTGGGAATTGCTTCAATTTGGATAGAAAACCTTTTCCAAGTTTTTTCCTCATTTGGCACTCAGGTGCAAGTATGCATTAGAAAGCCGGAGGCTGAAATGCCATTTGGGACTTAACTGTCCAGAGGAATTCTCCTTCTTGCCTTCTTGGCACAGCTACCAATACATGGGTCCCCTTGTACCTTCTCAGCTCACCGCGGTCAGTGCTATTTTGTTACAATTGCATATTGTACTGAAAATGCCCGTTCCACTTGGCCTATCTGGAAAATTTCCACATCTGTTTGCAGCTGTTGCATATACGTGTGAATAATGGATTATGGGCAAGTCCACCAAATCCCCCTTCCACCAAGAGGTTTGATTTCCAGGCAGTATTTCTCTGTGAGCTTTCATCTCTCCTTATATGTGAAGAGGAGTGATGTGGGTGGTAGGTGATACTGAATATTAACATTTCATAAGCCCATCAACAGATTTTTATCTGAAATCCAAGCAATATTTCACACTCTTCTAACTTTCCAACTGCAATAACCAGTGAATTACTTAATTTTCCAGTGACTTTACTAAGCGGTATTAGGAAGACTTAATGCCTAAAATATGTGTTGCAAGAATGTCACTCCAACTCTGGTCCCACGAAGCTTGTTTATGTAGTGGCAGCCACTGTGAAAGCCCCAGTAGAAAGGGATAGCTTCCAGGTGTCCTCTGCCCCTGGTGTGGTGTTAGGAGCAGCAGGCACACCGGCCAATAATCTTTGCATACTGCTAAGGCCAGCCTTCTTGCCTCTTCCCTGTGAGCAGTCATGCCTGGGCCTCTGATCACCTTGCCACATTTTTCTCCAGTGGAACGGCTGTTGAGTTTGAATTGCCAGCCTTCCCATTAGCATCCAGATATTTTCATCACTGCACCACCAGGGTTCCTCCACAGTCAGAGTAACACACAAGGCATCTGAAAAGAGCAGAATGTGATGGACTTGAGTAACTTTGCCAACCATGAGGATCCCAATCCAAAGCCGTGTTGCTCCCTGCAAGATGGTTCTCTCAAGCACAAGGAGTTGGCCGTCACCCAAAATATTTTTGAAACTTCTCTGGAATTGATTTTTACCCTTTCATGTGACTTTATTCCCTTGCTACCCATGAAGACATTACATGATCCAAAGTGCAAAAGAGAGAACAAGACAGACTCAGGCATGCTGTAATTAAATGGTCTTTTCAACATTTCGAGTCCCAATCTCATAATCACACTGGATTTTATTCCGCAGCATGGCTGGGAAGTTGTGGACTCCAATGACTCAGCTTCTCAACACCAGGAGGAACTTCCTCCTCCGCCTCTGCCCCCTGGGTGGGAAGAAAAAGTGGACAATCTGGGCCGGACTTACTATGTCAACCACAACAACAGGACCACTCAGTGGCACCGACCGAGCTTGATGTGAGTACCATTCTCGGCAAAATCAGGCACAAATGTGGCACATCTTTTGCAACTAGATTGAGAAGTAAGTCTCTTGTCAACTAGTACACAACTGGCTGTGTGTAGTACAGCCAGATTCCTCTTCATTAAGAGATGGAGTACCAGAGCCTGTCAGGATTTAGTTTTTCTTATAGGGAAGATAATCTTGCCTTCAACTCACATTCTGAACTAATGATGTTTTTCATTTGCTCTTGTTTGTTGTTGTTAACTGCCGTGGAGTTGGTTCCGCCTCATAGCAACCCTGTATAGGGATTCTGAGGGGAGGCTGGTGAGCTTAAACTGCCAACCTTGTGGTTCAAACCAATCTTTCAGCACATTAATTGGTGAAATATAAAGCAGAAATTCTTTTTCATAGATTTATGTTTAGGGTTTAAGGAGCTCTGGTAGCGTAGTGGTTACGAATCAGGCTGCAAAGCGCAAGATCAGCAGCTCGAAACTACCAGCTGTTCTATAGGAGAAAGGTGAGGCTTTCTGCTCCTGTAAAGATTTACAGCCTCAGAAACCCTGTTACAGGGTCGCTATGAGTCAGAACCGACTCCACGGCACATAACAACAACAAATGTTTAGGGATTATATTGCTTCCTTCCTCTGTTTCCTCTCCTGAATCAATTCAGAGTAGAAAGCAACAAACAAATTGGAGTTGCCATTTTCTGGCCTTTTTGCAATTGTTTATTCTCTTTAGCTATTTGATTTTGGGAAATCTTTCAAAAACTTTTTTTTTTCCTCTTTGAGAAATTTGTAAATCAACCTTTGATACCATTAAAAGCACAATAGGAGGGTGCAATAGGAGGGTGGTAACACAGTATTAGTAATTACTGTTTATTCCAGGGATTTGAGCCAGTTTGAATGACTTCAGTCATGGCAAATGCAGCAAAACCAGACATTTTTTAGAAAATTGAGTGAAGTGGAATAATAACCGGAAAGAAAACGTTGCTAGTTGAAGTCCTGGAATGGGAGGCTTGGAAGAGCCATGGTTGTGAGCCCTCCCAGAATGGGGTGATTGGATGATTGACAGGACTGTGGCGAGCTGCATTCAGAGCACTGTGGTTAGCCGCCATCTTTGAGGAGGTTACTGTTGTTCCTGACTCTGCCTGTCAAGAGATTGGTTTGCTGCCAATATGCACAGCAGCCCTTGTTTTCCAAGAGGGTGATGACGTTTTTCCCCTTCTGGCTATTGTTCTGGTGCATACCCACATTTTATAAATTTAGGTCCATTCTGGTTTCACTTCGTCAGCCATGACTGAACCAGAAAGAACCAGTTTAAGGCCATGGTTTATTCTAATCCCTTACCAGCTTCAGGTTTTCAGTGAACTGTTTACTGCTTTGTTCACTGGGTCATTTTTGGTTTGGAGATAATAAGCACCACTTAAACTTCTAATAATTAAGGAGCTCTGGTAGTGTAGTGGTTACGAATCGGGCTGCTAACCTCAAGGTCGGCAGTTTGAAACTACCAGCTGTTCTGTGGGAGAAAGATGAGACTTTCTGCTCCTATAAAGATTTGTGGCCTCATAAACCCTGTGTAGGGTCACTATGAGTTGGAACCGACTCCACGGTACTTAACAACAAACTTCAATTCCAAAAAAAAAAAAAAAAAAAGTTGGATTCAACGGCCATTGTTCATATACATTGTTCATCAAAACCTAAAACTATTAATACGAGCAGGCTTCTTCAGGAAGTTCGTGGAAAAATTCCATTATCTTTTCATTCAGTTTTTTCCACATACTTTTTGAAACCCTTTGTATGCAGTAAAATATTCAAAGGGAAAGGAAACATCCAGGAATTCATAAGCTTCCTTGTAACCAAGATAGGAGTAATTGAATTTTTAATATGAGATAAAAGGAAGTATGATATAGGTGATATGTTTTGTTATTTTTTTAGTTTTCTTCAACCCAAACTCTAAAAAATGTCTTTTACAAAGTGACATTAACAATATGATAGACGATATGCCTAATAACCATTTTATCTTTACAATTTTCCAAGATATTCTGCATCTCTTGTGTGGGTATGTGGGCAAGTGGTCCAGGTTTTATTTAATTTAGAGATAAAACTTGCAGATTCCTGCATCAAGGACTGTCTAGTCCTCCCTAGGCTCCCACATGCGCTCTTGCAAATGTCAGCTAGCTGTCTCGTCAGTTTCAGGCTAGGCTACTTACCATGGGCAGGAGCTCATTGTTCTTCAGCAGATAGTTTAGGTGTCAGAAGATGGCAGTGATGTATAACTGGGCTTTACTGTAAATTTCCCATAGAAATACTAATGGAAATGGTGCCATTTATCCTTTTGTGTTATTGTTACTGCTACTTATTTGTGTTTTACATTTTCTGCTTGGTTGATGTTCACTCACAGCTATAAAGTCTAATGCAAGCCTTTGGACTATTCTAGTTACTTAGAGTAAAACTAACTTTGGAAACACATTGAGCTTAATTACATGCAGTGATTAGAAGAATCTTGGTAGCAAAGCATCATTATCTAACTTGGCCAAACCACTTAAGAAATGGGTATCTAAACTCATAGCATTCTGGGGACGTCTGCAGGGAACAAAAGAAGAAACTACAAATAGCTAGTGCCTGTCTGGATGGAAGGAGAACACAGTCACTGTACCAGAAGGAAATGGTTCATGTTCAGCCATTTCAAGAGGTAGCATATGATCAAGAGCCAATGATACTGAAGGAAGAAGTCCAAGGTGCATTGAAGGAATTGGCAAAGAACAAGGCGCCAGGAATTGATGGAATAAAAATGGAAATCTTTCAAGAAAGTGAAGCGGCATAGGAGGCACTAACTCATCTATGCCAAGAAATTTGAAAGATAGCTGTATGGCCAACTGATTGGAAGAGATCCGTATTCATGCCCATTCCAAAGAGAGGTGACTCAACAGAATGTGGAAATCATCGGACAATCTCTTTGATATCCCATGCTAGTAAAGTTTTACTAAAGGTAATACAGAAACAGCTGCAAGCATACATTGACATAGAACTTCCAGAGGTTCAAGCCGGATTCAAAAGAGGCCATGGAACAAGGGATAGCATTACTGATGTCCGATGGATCTTGGCTGAAAGCAGAGAATATCAGAAAGATACTTACCTGTGCTTTATTGACTATGCAAAGGCTTTCATTTGTGTGGATAATGACAAGCTATGGACAACATTGCAAAGTATGAATATTCCAAAACACTTAATTGTGCTCATGAGGTATCTGTACCTGGAACAAAACTCAGTTGTTCGAACAGAACATGGGAACACTGAAAGTTTTAAAATTAAGAAAGGTGTGCGACAACGTTATATTCTTTCACCATACTTATTCAACCTGTATGCTAAGCAAATAATCCGAGAAGCTGGGCTATATGAAGAAAAACTTGGCATCAGGATTGGAGAAAGACTCATTAACAACCTGCAATATGCAGATGATACAACCTTGCTTGCTGAAAGTGAAGAGGACTTAAAATATTTACTGTTGAAGATCAAAGAGCACAGCCTTCAGTATGGATTACATCTCAATGTAAAGAAAACAAAAATCCTCACCACTGGACCAATAAACAGCATTCATATCAACGGAGAAAAGATTGAAGTTGTCAAGGACTTCATTCTTCTTGGATCAACTATCAACACTCACAGAAGCAGCAGTCAAGAAATCTAACGATGTATTGCAGTAGGCAAATCTGCTGCACAAGACCTTTTTAAAATGTTGACGAGCAAAGATGTCAGCTTGAGGACTAATGTGCGTCTGACCCAAGCCATGGTATTTTCAATGCAACCTCACGTGCATGGTTCCCACGGACTGCTAATTACTTAAGGAGCTCTAGTGGCTCAACAGTTAAGCTCTCAGCTGCTAAACAAAACATTAGCAGTTGAAACCCACCTAGATGCTCCGCAGAAAAAAGACCTGATAAGCTTCTTCCAGAACACTTAATTGTACTTATGAGGAATCTGTACCTGGACCAAGAAGCAGTTGTTTGAACAGAGCATGGGAACACTGAATGTTTTAAAATTGGGAAAGGTGTGCGACAAGGTTGTGTTCTTTCACCATACTTATTCAACCTGTATGCTGA